GGGTTAAAATAACTAGAAAATAAATTAATAATAATAATATTTATTTTTATTTGTTATTTGATTATAATTCTAAAGTGATTGAAATGAAAGATTTGAAGAAATTTAATTATATTCTTATTTAACTTTAATTCTATAATTTAGAGTAAAGAAAATATCTTATGAATTATTAATTGAGATAACAGTAGAAAACAAAGAACAAATTTTTTTGGATTATGAGGTGAAAATTAATAATAAATGTTTTATGAATTGTCTTAATATTCTTTCTTTTCAATATGACTCCATATAATTTTTGGAAAAGGCATTGTGGTCATTATCAAAAGTACTTTTAAATTCAACCTTAATTACTTAATTTAAATATTTTAATAAAAAATTATTAAAAAAATTAAAAAATTAATAAAAATAAGATAAAATATAAAATATAATATAAAGAACTAAAAAATAATCCATGCAATTAAAGCGTATAAGTTAAAAAATATGGCATTAGTTGTTTCAAGGGCAGGGTTTGCGGTTGATATTCTAATTATAAGGCTGTGTACAAGTAACTCTTGTACTAACTTAAGCATAGGGTACCGGACAAAAAATTTTAATTATAAATTACATTTATTTTTTTAAATATAAATAAATAAATATGAGATGGGATTTGGTGCGGTGGATGCACTAATAAGGCAGCAGTAATCGCTCTTTTGTTATCTAGATCCCTTTTGAAGATGACATAGAAATGCAGATGCATTGGTTTCGACATCTACCTTGCTTCTCTGGGGAACCGTATTTAATACGCTCAACCACACCCAGTAAAGAGCAATGAATTCAATCAACCACACGTCACGTTCATTTTAAATAAATAAAAATGCAGATGCATTGGTTTTGAAATCTATTTTACTTCTCTGGCAAGGCAACCCGTATTTAATATGCTCAACGATGGCCTATAAAGAGCAATGAATGCAATCAACCACCCACACCCTCACTTTAAATAAATAAAAATGCAGATGCATAGGTTTTGACATCTTAGTTCTCTGGGAAACCGTATTTAATATGGTCAACAACCCCCATAAAGGGCAATGAAATCAATCAACCACCTATCACCTCCATTTTAAATAAATAAAAGGGATTTAAA